CCCCACTTCCACCCCGCCCCCCGGCTGAAGGGCCGGCCGGCAGGAGCAGGGAGCCCCGGCCGCCCGTCTGCACCTGGCACAGGTGGGGGCAGGGTCTGCAGGGTGGCCAGGGAGAAGCGGGGCCGGGCTTGGGGAGGGGGCGTCCCTGTGCCCGATGCCCCTGCCCGGTGCTGCGTGGCCAGGACGCTGGGGCCTGAGTCACGGCTGACTGGGCGGCACCCGGCCCGTTGGGTGACCCAGGCCGGCATAAGGCGATGACTGGGCAGCCCTCCGCATGACCGGCCGGGGTCGGCCTTAGGTGTTTTGAGTCAGACCTGCCACGGGCCGTGTGCAGCACAGCCATCCTCCCCTCGTCCCTGTCCCCAGAAGAGGCACAGGGCTGCAGCTGCCCCCTGGACACGGTGGTGCCAAGCCACCACTCCTTGTCCCGGCACCCACCGCAGAGCCCCGGAGCCACCTGTCCATCTGACCCACCCTCCGCCACAGGCCCCAGGGCTCCACCCGCTCCCCGAGACCTTCGCCCCTCCCCGAGCCCGGCCCTGCGGACGCCCCAGGGAGCGGCCTGCGGCTGAGCGAGGGCTGCCACTCGCCGTCCGTGGACTGTGACCCTTCCCTTATCACTGGAGCAGGGGTCCCGCGTCAGCCCTGGCGTGGAGGGGGGTGGGGGGCCGTGGGGGGCAGAGACAGAGAGAGAAGAGCCGAGAAGAAAGAAACCAGCACGTAGGACAGGGACAGTAAGAGGCAGAGACGAGAGAACAGCGGCCTCGTACCCACGCCAAGACCACACTGCCACCACGCTGGCCCGAGGCAGCCCATTACCCAGAGGGGCAAGCTGAGGCCCCGCCAGGCAGGTTACCCGGCTGTAAGGGCTGGGGGCCCGGCTCTGACTCTTTTGGCTGAACTCTAAAGTACTTTCTCATCCCCCCAGAAAGAGGAAAAACATTCACGTCACAACTGCCCGGCCCAGCGCAACCCAGGTGGCGGAGACCCAAGGAAGACCCAGGTTCGCATCCCAGCTCTGCCGTCTCCAAGCTGGGAGTTTGTTCTGAGGACGAATGGCACGTGCCAGGCCCCCGGTCCTGCCTTTCTCTCCCGCAGTGTCCCTGCCCTGGGGAAGTGGAACCCACGGGTGTTCCAAGCAGCGTTGACTGAAAGTGGGTGACTGTCACTCTGAAAAACTTGAAAACGAAAAACAACCCAGACCGGGCGTGGTGGCTCACGCCTATAATCCTAGCACTCTGGGAGGCCGAGGCAGGCGGCTCGCTCAAGATCAGGAGTTCGAGACCAGCCTGAACAAGAGGGAGACCCTGTCTCTACTAAAAATAGAACGAAATTAGCTGGACAACTAAAAATATATAGACAAAAATTAGCCGGGCATGGTGCACATGCCTGTAGTCCCAGCTACTCGGGAGGCTGAGGCAGGAGGATCGCTTGAGCACAGGAGTTTGAGGTTGCTGTGAGCTAGGCTGACGCCACGGCACTCTAGCCCAGGCAACAGAGTGAAACTCTGTCTCAAAGAAAAAAAAAAAAAGATAAGAAAAAGAAAACCTGGAAGCAAAGAAATGTCTCAAAAGAAAGAAAAAAGAAAGAAAGGAAACCCAGGTAGGACCCGTTTATCTTCCCGAGCCTGGTGGCTGCTCCCGGCTGCCCCTGACGGCTTTGTCCCCTCAGGGCACTGCCCCCTAGGGAAACGTGCCTTGCGGGTGTCTGTCCTCGGGTGTCAGGCTGTGGCAGCAGAGCAGTGGTTCCGAGGCCTGTCCTGTCCCTCTGCCCGTCTCACAGCAAGTGGCCGTGGGCCCCAGCCACGACCGACCACATGTGCTGGGGCGGCAGCGTGACTGCAGGGGCTTGCCCTGCTGGTGGCTGATGGAGACTCCACAAGTGCCCCCAGGGGGCCGCCCACAGCACGAGAGCAGCCCCACAAGGCCCCTGCATGGGACCCACAGAGGTGGGGGTGCTTGAGCCGGCTCTCGACTTCGAAGGGGTTGGGGGTGTAAGGAGTGGGGACAGAATGGGGAGGGCGCACTTGGTGGGACACGGGGGTGGGGGGAGGTGCCAACCGCTGGAGGAGGAGGCGCAGGGAGGAGCTGGCAGAGCCGCTGGGGCCTGGGGGCTGGAGGCCTCTGATGCCACCACGAGGAGCTGGGGACAGACGGGGGCAGTGGGGCAGGAGGATCGGGGGAGGGACTGTGGGCAGGAGAAGATGGGCTGGTGGGAGGAGCGCAGTGGGGGAGGGGTGGGGGGAGAAGCAAGGGAAGGGGGGAAGGGCTGGGATCCTGGAACTCAAGGGGGGCGCGTGGGAAGCAAGCGCAGGATTTGGGGGAGGGTGGTGAGTTCGAGAGGCACCCCCAGCGCACCCCGGAGAGTCCTGGTAGCTGGGTCTGGCGGATCTGGGCTTGGGAGGAGATCAGGCTGGAGACGGTGGTTTGGGGTTACCTGCCACTGTGTGTGACTTACTAGGAGACACTACAGAGGTGACAGTCCTCATAGATGGGGCACATGAGACCCCCTCCCCAGAGCCAAACCCCCACCTGCTTCCTGTGGGGCGGGCGGGCCCCAATTCAACGCCAGCCTCAGACACCCTCCTGGGTGGGAGCCAGCCAGGGCTGGGGGGCCCCGTCTAGGGCGGGCTCCCTGGTGCACGCCGCAGGGTCTCAAGGTCCCCTGCGCCACCCTCCCCTCTATCTTCTGTGGGCTGGGAGGCTGGGCCCACCTGCCCTGCTTCTCCTTGAGCTCCTACTGTATACCAGGCACCGTGCTGGGCGGCGGGACGGAGGGAGCAAAGCAGATGGCGTGCCTGTCCTCAGCTGCTCCAGGCTAACAGGGAGGGCGGCCACTAACGCAGACACCTCTCGGGGTCTGGGGCAGATTGAGAGAATGTGTGACCCAGTTGCTGGACGCAGACCACGGGCAGGTGGGGAAGAATTGCCGAGGATGGCCCCTGGCGCTGAGATCCAACGAGGAGGGGAGTTAACTTAATAACAAGGACAGGGAACAGCATTCTAGACATAGGGAACAGTATAGGCAGGGGCCCTGTGGTAGGAGGGAGCCCCAAGCATTTCATGAGCCAAAAGGTGCCATTGTGACAGGAGCCCTGAGGACAAGGGGGAGCCCAGTGTGGGAAGCAGAGGGCACTTATGGGGGCTTGACAAATAGCCTGGACTAGACGGGCAGCTGCCAGTGAAGACAGCTAGCTGGGAGTCAGGGGCCCTGCACTAACTTGCTCAAGGGATCCTCCTGCCTCAACTTCCTGAGTGGCTGGGACTATAGGTATGTGCCACCACGCCCGGCTAATCTTTCAATTTTTTTGTAGAGTCGGGGGTCCCACTATGTTGCCCAGGCTGGTCTTGAACTCCTGGCCTTAAGCAAACCTCCCGCCTCGGCCTCCCAAAGCGCCGGGATTACAGGCATGAGCCACCTCGCCCAGCTGAGCTCTGTGGACTTGAGCAAGATGCTTCCCCTCTCTGGGCCTTTGAGTAAGTCATGATGCACTCGCTCACTGTACTCCCATCCCCGAACGTCGGAGCCTTTGCCCCAGCTGTCCCATCTCCCTTTCTGCATGTCACTCAGACCACAGGGAGGACGTCACCTCTCCAGACACGGCCCTGACCACTCACATCGCCTGGCTCGCTCCCTCTGTTACATCACCCTGCTGTCCTTTGGCTGAGCACTTACCGCACTCTCAGATGCTCTGACGGGTCCTTTTGCCTGTCTGTTGTCTGTCTGCCCCTTGCCCCGGACTTCTGTGCCTTCGGGGACTCATGAAATTGTCAGCCAAGTGACAGAGGCAGAGGAAGATGCTCCTGCCCTAGAGTCCCACAGGCCTGAATTCAAACTGTGCCACCCCCAGTTAATTTGCTCTGAGGACGAGGGCAAGCCCACCCAAACTCTCTGAGCCTCACTCTTCCCATCTGCAAAATGGATCATTATCTATTGCAGGGAGTTCCACACCGGCCCTCCACGCCGATGTCAAGCCCGGTTCCCATCCTGTCCTCAGCTGTGTCTGCTATTTCAGACAGGAAGTGGGGTGGCCAGGCACGGATCCAGGTCAAGTTCATCTGCTTCTGTGAGCCCTTGCCTTGTAGCTCTTGGCTCAGCATGTCACCGGCCCACAGGTGCCAGCCATGGGCATTGTGAAGGGAACCCGGTTTTCTGGGGATGAGATGGAAACCCTAACTCTTTGGGGCTCCCCAGGAAGCAGTTTTAAACACATGTCAGACCACAGCCCCTGTCTGAGGCAGGATCTCTTATTCTTTTGTCCATTTCACAGATGAGGAACCAAAGACCCAGAGACAGCAAGCAATTTTCCCAACGTCACACAGAGAGATGAGACGGGGCTAAGAGAGGATCTTGAACCCGGCCACGTCTGTCTGCCTCGAATCCTGTGCTTCCACCTGCCCTGGGCGTCCTGTTGCTCTGGGCACACACGGCCGGGCCGAGTGCTCACTGCGCAGCAGGCAGGGTGCGGGTGGCAGGCGTGCGGCTGTGAGCTCACGTGTTGCCTCATTCCATAAATGCTTAGGGCATCTGCCGTGTTCTAGGCACTGGATGTGCCCATGTGACACACTGGCACACACCTACACATGCACATGTATGGATACGTGTGCAGAGACACACCCAGATATCCATGCGCGCGCGCGCGCACACACACACACACACACACACACACAGATACAGATACTGACATAAGCGCCCGTGATGCCACCAATATCTAGGCTTCAAGATGAGGCGAGAGAAATACACCTGCCACACGCAGTAGCACATACACACCAGCCACACGCCCACAGGGGCCCGGGGACACCCCACACACTCCAACCCTCCTCCCACTCAACACCCCAGCGTCTCAAGGGAGCCCGACTCAGCCAGAACGATGTCCAGTGCACCCCCAGGGTGTGAACGCTTTTGGCCTTGGCCCCTGGGAACCCCCTTTTCTCCAAGAAGCTGAGCCCCCTCCCCCAAAATTCGTCTCCCACAAGGTGACAGAGAGGCAGACACAGGGGCTTTAGAAACCAGGCAAGTTTTAAATACATGTTGGCACAATATTAACATTAAATACACATCATAAATAGGCCTTATAAATATGAAACTGATAAAAATTGATAAATTAATCATGTCCCTCCTGGGAATCGGCCCAGTAGCTTCTGGAACGCCCTCTGGGAGGGCAATGGTTCCAGCGTGAGAAAATTCCAGGAGACACCACCAGGGGGAGCAGCCGCAGCGAGGCCCCAAGGCTGTGCTGCCCGCGGCTGGGAGGACTGCGGAGAGCTGGCCTGACCCACCCATCGCCATTGTCACCTTGTGTCCTGATTTACAGAGAATCTGATGGCCACCCTATGTCACACGGTCCCAGCAACAGACAGACAGAGGGGACCTTACACGGTCCCAAACTCCCTGGCTTCCCAAAGAGAAAACTGAGGTCCAGGAAGGTAAAGTGACCTGCCGGAGGTCACACAGCAAGTTGGGGGCTGGGCTGGGACCTGAGTCCTGTTCCCTGGACCCTCAGATCGGTTCTCCTTCTAGGACACCCTGCCCCTGGTTCGGCTGCCTACAGCGAGGTCACCCAGACATCCAGGTGTCTGGCCGAGACGCAGTGAGGCATAGGAGCCCGCTGGGGCGGTGACCTCCCTTCAGAGCCACGGAAAGGAGGAAGTCTGGGGGCACCAGCCCGGCAAGTCATGAGAGGGAAGGGCCACAGGCCTCCGGGGAGCACAGCAGGGGGGCAGTCTGCCCAGCCGTGAGTCACCCTGTGTCATCAGACCCCTGAATCAATGGAAAGTCGGCCCTGCGTGGCCTGACCTGGCCACCCCACCGGGACTTGGGAACTCGGGGCTGGGGGTGCCACAGCCTGACACTACCCCCAGCCCGGAGGAGGTAGAGGGGCCTCCCCAGCTTCCACCTCTTAAAGTGCACTTCTGAGCGGGCTGAGGGTGGGAGCAGATTTGGAGACCGAGGTGTCCTCCCTCCTGCCTCCTGCCCCTGGCATCCGCAGACACCTGCCGCATCCTGCTCCTGCGAGGGTGCCCCTAAGGCTACCGGGGCAGCTGCCCCCTAGGCACGAGCCTCCTGCCCCTCCTGGAAGGTCTGGCTCTGCTGGCATCCTCCGGCAGGGCCCGCGGGGGCCTGTGTCTGTGGCCCTGGCTCGGGCTCTTCCCCCACTCGCCGAAGACCTGCCCGGCCGAGCTCAGGACGCGGTGGTAGCCCCGCAGGAACCTGCAGCCCTCCAGCTTGCGCTGAAAGGCGCCCGGGTCGGGGGTGGGCGGCGGCGATGTCCCCGGGGCTGCCTGCGTGGGCTCAGCCACATCCCAGGAGCTGCCCAGCAGCCGGGACATGCAGAAGATGTTGTTCCTGAGCCCGAGGATGTTCAGCCTGGCCATCTTCAGCATCTCCAAGTCCTGGGCTCTCGGCCTCGCCGCGGGCGGCCTCCCCAGGCGCCCGGCCTCGGGGAGCTGCTGCTGCACGGCGGCCAGTCTGCGCAGCACGAGGCCCAGCGTGGCGTCCAGGGTCCGCAGGAAGCCCCGCCTGCCCAGCCCCCGCAGGGCGCCCTCGCTGGGGAAGGCGCCCGGGCGCTCCGTGCAGTGCTCTCTCAGCTGGGGGAAGTCCAGGCCCTGGATGCGCATCTGGGGGGACAAGAGAGTCAGGGGGTGAGCGCCGGAGACCCCAACCACACACACATAGACGAGTCTGCTCTGGTCGGCCTTGAAACGTAAACCTCACACACCCCTATTTGACCCTCCCATTGTACAGGTCCAGAAACTGAGGCCCGAGAGGGGACCCCAGCAGGGGACCCCAAGATCGTTGCAGGCAGGGTAGGAGGGATGTTGGGGGGCTAGCAGGGGTGACTGCACAGGTGGTAATTGTGGTGTGGGGGTGTCAGTTGGGAGTGGGGGGTTTCAAGAGGGCTGAACTCTATTTGCTCACTGCTGTGTCCTTGTGCGTGGAACAAAGCATGTGGCAGGTGTGCGATAAACGTGTGCTGGGCATGAGGGGGACAGGGCAGCGGTGTTGGGTTCGTGCTCCGGGCCCACGGGACTGGGGAACCTGTATCGTGCACTTAGCGTCTCGGGGTTAGGGCTGGAATAACAGGGGACTCAGTTTCTCCACCCCCCATACCGAGTGGGGGTCCTCCCGGCGGCTCCCTCCCTCCCTGACTGCCGCAGTCCCCGGAGACCCAGACACCACCGGGGCCAGGTGCTCACATAGGGGTCCAGGAGCGAGCTGGGGTCCTGCATGGCGTGTGCCTGCTTCTGCAGCTGGCCGAGGAGCACGTGGAAATCTCCCGGGCAGCTGCCCATAGCTGCCATGCTTGCAAACAGGAGTCCGAGGACCAGACCTGGGGCAGAGAAGGGAAGTGTCACCTGACCTGGCCAGGAAGCCGCAGGTGGGAGCCTGGGGGAGGCGCTTCCCCTCATCCTGGGCTTTGTGCGGCCCAGGGCAGGGCTGGGCACCGTGGGGCGCTGTGTGCACAGGAATACCCGCTGCGGCCACCAGCAGTGAGTCACTGCCTGGGACTCGAAACAATAGTGGGAGGGCCCGGGACACTGGCTGCTATTTACCAAACAGGTCTTTTGAGCAGGGGGCAGCGTCCGGCTGGAGCTCAGTCCTGCAGACACCACAGTGCCAACCCCAGGAGCTGACACCGGGCGGCCGGTGGGGCTGGCTCTCTGCAAGACCTCGGGCATTCGGGCCACCACTGCCCCAGGGCCCGGCCTCGTCAGCTACCCCGGGCCCCAGTTATGGACCCCGCCGTCCACGCAGGGCTTGGGAGGGCTTGCAGCCCGGGCGCAGCCGGTGCCCGAGCTCTGTCTCACACCCAGGAGGGGCGCCTTTCCGCCCAAAGGCTCGGCTGGGAGCAATGTGGGGATCACCCTGTCCATGCCTCGTTTTACTGACAGGTAAACCGAGTGGCAGGAGATAGGGCTCGCTCAGGTCACCCAGGGCAGTGCTCTGTCCTGACCTCTCGTGCCTCCCTCCTCTCTCTACAAGTGGCTGCTCTGTCAGGCCCACCAGGGACGCTGTGAGCCCATCAGAAGGTTCCAGGGGGCGGGCGCAGTTACTACTCGCCACCCCCCGCCACCACGGGGCACCGGCAGCCACGTGGTCGGAAGGGGCCTGTGGCGCAATGGCCCGGAAGGCAGTGACACCATCATTCCCGTCCTAAGAACCATCCGGCCCCGGGGGAAGACTGGCTTCTGGGGAGGGCAGAGGGGCCGGGCGCCCAGGCGCCGCCACCCCAGGGCACCCTTGCCACCTCCCCAGGTGTCCACCGCCAGGCTCCAGTTGGGGGCCCGCATGTGCGGCAATGTGCACACGGGACGAGGGTGTCTGCGAGGCCGTGCGTCCGGGTCTGTGCAAGGTGCTCAGGGGCACCTGCTCCGTTCACCCCAGGGCCCTGGTCTGCATGTGGGGCTCCCAGGTAGGTGAGATGAGGGCTCTGATGGCGTCACGTGGCTCTAGGTGCGCGTTGCCATGTGGGTGTGGCTGTGCGTGCTGTGTGATGGGGAGGCCTCCAGCACTTTCTATCCATCCCGGCCCCCCACGGCCCCTGCACATGTCCCCTGTCCCCTGCCTGGCTCCTGCGGCTCCCTGCAGCCTCCCTCCTGCTTCCCCTGCCTGTCTCAGCCCATCCTCTTCCCTCCTACCCTGGCTCCTGGAATTGCCTCTACTTCGCCTCCCCCTGGAAGCCTTCCAGGGATACCCCTTCTCCACCTGTGGGGATGCTGGCTCTCAGCCTGACCTCCTGGCTCTGGCCCCTTCTCAGCATCCCTCTGCCCGGTGCCCGGTCTCCCCAGGTCCCAGAGGGCAGAGGGTGGCCCTGCTGCCCAGGGCGCCCGTGGGCACAGCGGTGCTGGCGGGAGGAAGGAAGTACTCACTGAGCAGCGTCCTCCCTGTGGTCTGCGTCGGCATGCTGGGCGCCCGCGCTCCGGCCCGTGCCTGCTGGGGGTGACACCTCAAGGCTGGGAGCCCTGCGGGCTGGCAGCCACTTTATGCCCGCCGGGGCGATTGGCCAACACCTCGTGAGGTGGGTGGGGAGGGGGTGGGGGGAGGGCAGGCCTTCTGGGAACATGACCCCAAAAACCAAAATTTCCACAGCGGCCAATGGGCGCTGGGCGCGGCGGGGTGCCCGCTCCTCCTCCTGTTTTCTTCGAATTCGTTCTTCGAGGTCAGCCCCACGCCCAGGGATGATGCGAACCGCAGGCTCAGCCTTCCTGGGGCGAGTGGGCAGGGACCGGGTCCGTGCCACCTTTGGGGGGCCGGGGCCGGGCCCAGGGTGGGCGGGAGGGACTGGCCTCTGGAGGCCCCAGGCCAGTCTCTTCCCCGGGAGCCACCGTCCCCGCAGGCTTGGGGCTGAGGGGAGTGAGACATCTTCCTTCTTGAGTGCCCTTCCCGCCCTCTCGCCCGAGCTGTTGGGACATCTGTGAGCGGAAACCACCGGGCTCTGGGCACAGAGCCAGACCCAGGCTGGCAGCCCCGAGATTGTGGTTCTGGCCCCGGGACCAGCATCCCCCAGCCCAGCTCCCCGCTGCCTCCTGTCCTTTATTGCCACCCCTGCCACCCTTCCCCGTCCCAGGCCCACAGCCCAGACCCGGCCACTGTTCTCTGCAGACAGTGTCCTCTGGGGAGAACTGGACACTTGCAGCAAGAAAAACAGGAGACCAGCGGTCAAGCCCCCTGATGTGCTGTGTGATCTGAGGCAAGTCACTTAACCTCTCTGGGCCTCAGAGCCCCCACTTATCAAATGAGGAGGAGAAAAGCATTTCCCAGCTCACCTCACAGGCTGTTGGCTATCATGGACATAAAAGGCAAAAAGCCTTTGAAGGGAAAAGAAACGATGAAGATCTAATTCCAAGTATTCGCTGTCGGGTGGGAGTGGTGAGGTTCGGGTGTGCTGGGTTTGGGGAGGATGGGGAAGCTGTGAGCTCAGAGGGGAAGCCGGGAGGTGGGGCTGCGTCTGCAACGGTTGGGGACCAGGTTTCACTTTCTCTGAAAGATAGCAATCGTGGGTTTGCCCTCCACTTCTTGAAGATTTGTCTGAGCTCAGAATGAAGGGCCCCTGCAGACAGCGCCTGCCTGGCCAACCTGCAACTTTACTGTGGGGTAAACTGAGGCCCAGGTGAGGGTAGACAAGGCGAGGTTGAGGGGCAGGGCCAGGCTGGGAGACTCTGGCACATCCGCCAGGCCAGGAAGAGTGTCCTTGGCCTGCACCCTGAGGGGCCCGGCTGCGAGGAGGCTGCAGAAGTCTGCAGAGCCAGGGCGGGGTCCCTGGGGGCTGCCGGGGCGGGGGGGGGCACACGCTGCTAAGGCCGCAGAGACCGCTGGGCCTGCAGAGCCCGGACAAGTAGAACCAAGGAAGCCAGAAGAGCAGGACTAGAGACGCTCTGCATGTCCACCAAGGCTGTTCCTGCTGCTGTAGACACGCCCACCATCATGTATTCATTCAACAAACCTTTATTTAGCCCCACTCTGGGCCAGCCACTGCCCGGTGTTGAGGATCCAGCAGTAGGCAAAACCAGACAAGCCCACGCCCAGTAGGCCGCGCCTCCCGGTTTCTCCCCACGCCCCACACACAGGGAAAACCTAACACCTCACCGCCACCACCCCCACGGTGGCCATCTCTGGATCCTCATCCTGAGAATGTCGCTTCTGCTAAAGCCTCATCTCTGCGCCCACCCCCGCGGTGCTGGGTCCTGGGGCTCGTGCCAGGCCAGGATCCTTCTGCATTTCACAGCCCTGATCTCATCTTGCGACAGGCGGGTCTGGGATGCCTCACGCACACCCACTTCGAGAAAGAGATTGAGGCTCTGGGAAGGGCCGGGGCTGGCTGGGGGCAGGTGAGCACCGGCCCCTCTCCGCGGCGGCTGACCACCCGCCGGACTCAGGGACAGTCGGCCGGGCCTGCACCCTGTGCTGCCCACCAGGGCCAGGGAGGCCGCCCTGTCTCGTCACTTGAAAGGCACCTCCGTGACACTGCGGTCGCCTGCGAGCAGCAGGAGAAGAGGGACGTCCAAACCAGGCCACACGACCATGTTCTTAGCACACGGCTGATCAGGGTGCCAGCCACAGGCCCAGGGACCACGGTCACCAAAGGCAGGACAGCTTGTGTACCAGTTTGCTAGGGCTGCCGTGACTGAGTCCCACGGGCTGGGTGGCTTGGATGACAGAAGTGTGTCTTCTCACGGTTCGGGGGGCCGGACGCCTGAGGTCAAGGGTTGGCCACTTCGGAAGCCTCTCTCCTGGCTCGTCGATGACACTGTCTCTCCCTGTGTCTTCTTCACCCGCTCTTCCCTCTGCCTGTCTGTGTCCTAATCTCTTCTTCTAGAACACCAGTGAGACTGGATCGGGGCCCACCCCGTGACTTCATGTCACCGTAAGTACCGCTTTCGAGGCCCTAAACGGTCGCGTTCTGAGATGGTGTGGGTTAGGACTCCGGCACACGAATGCGGCGGGGGACGAGATTTAACCCGGGCCGCCTGCAAGAGGACGCGCGGCCGAGGGCTGCAGGGGCTGGGGACCCTGGCAGAGGGCCCGGAGCAGGGGGCGTGCAGGAGGCCAGGAGCGGCCGAGGCCGGGAGGCCCGAGCATTGGAGCGAAGCATGAGGGAAGATGCGTCAGCGCTTCTGGTGAGGTCAGCGCCCAGTGACGTCCCTCTCGCCAGCAGGAAGAGCTTGCAACACGGCCCAGCCAGTATAAATAGGCTCCCCGACCACAGGGCCCGGGCTGTCCCCTCTTCCCGGGCCACGTCAGCCTGGTCCTCGTGACTTGGAGGGGAAGAGGGGACAGGGTTGGTTCCTCAGAAGCGCTGTTTCATGGTCTTTCCCTATCCCTTTAAATGCAAGGACAGGCCCCGGGGTGGCCTGGCGGGGCGGGGTGTACCAAGCGGGAGGCAGAGGTGGCCCCCAACCTAAGTTCCAGGCTCACTCTGCAGTGAGCACCTGTGTTCTTGGCCTGGTCACACCCCTTTTCTGGGCCTGTTCCCCCTGCATAAACTGCAGTGACACAACAACAAAAAGACAAACAATCCAATTTCAAAATGGGCAAAGGATTAAAATAGACATTTCTCCAAAAAAAAAAAAAAAGGTAGACAAGTGGCCAATAAGCACATGAAAAGATGCACATCATAGGAAAATGCAAAATGCTAATCGAACCACTTCACACACACTAAGGTGGCTATGATCAAAGACAGATGAGGACACGTGTCGGCGAGGGTGTGGAGGAATTGGAACCCTGGTACGTTGCTGGTGGGAATGTGCAATGGTGCAGCCAAACTGGAAAACACTTTGGCAGGGCCGGGGGAGGTGGCTCACACCTGTAATCCCAGCGCTTTGGGACGCCAAGGCAGGAGGATCACTTGATTCCAAGAGTACAAGACCAGCCTGGGCAACATAGTGAGACTCTGTCTTTACAAAAAAATGTAAAAGTTAGCTGGGTGTGTCGTGGCTCACACCTGTAGTCCCAGCTACTAGGGAGTCTGAGGCAGGAGGATCCCTTGAGCCCAGGAATTTGAGGTTGCAGTGAGCTATGATCGTGCCACTGCACTCCAGCCTGGGCAACAGAGTGAGACCCTATCTCTAAAAAAAAAAAAAAAAATAGAAAAGAAAAGAAAAAAGAAACAAATTTGGCAGTTCCTCAAATGGCAAAACATAGAACTATCATCTATCATATGACCAACAATTCCACTCCTAGATATATACCCAAGAGAATTGACAACACAGGCCTACACAAAAACTTGCAAATGTTTATAGGAGCGATTATTTATAATAGCCTAAAACTAGAAATAACCTAAATGTCGGTCAATAGAAAATGGATAAACAAAATGTGATTTATCCATGCAACGGAATATTGAGTCACAGAAAGGAGTGAAGCATGGCTACATGCTCCAGCATGGATGAAGACATTCTGCTAAGTGAGAGAAGCCAGACACAGCAGGCCACATGTTGTATGGCATGTCCAGAGTCGCCACTTCTGGAGAGACAAAGTAGTTTGGTGGTTGCCAGGGGTGGGGGGATCCAGGGATGGGAGAGACAGCTAAGGGGTGAGAGGTGACAAAAATATTCTGAAATTAGATAGTGGTGATGGTTGCACACCCTTGTGAAGATACTAAAATTTGCTGAAATATATACACTTTAATCTTTTTTTTTTTTTTTTTTTTTTTTGAGACAGAGTCTCACTCTGTTGTCCAGGCTAGAGTGAGTGCCGTGGCGTCAGCCTAGCTCACAGCAACCTCAAACTCCTGGGCTCAAGCAATCCTTCTGCCTCAGCCTCCTGAGTAGCTGGGACTACAGGCATGCACCACCATGTCCGGCTAATTTTTTCTATATATTTTTAGTTGTCCAGCTAATTTCTTTCTATTTTTAAGTAGAGATGGGGTCTCACTCTTGCTCAGGCTGGTCTCGAACTCCTGACCTTGAGCGATCTGCCCGCCTCGGCCTCCCAGAGTGCTAGGATTACAGGCGTGAGCCACTGCGCCCGGCCTGAAGCATATACGCTTTAAAATGATAGATTTAATGGCATATGACTTGTATCTGAATTTTTAAAAATGCAGCGGCAAGTGCGCCCCACAGGACGGTCAGCGTGCTTCAGTGAGCACGTGAGCACCTGACCCGCCAGCCGCTGAGGCAGACGGAGGACTTTTATGTCACAGGGTGACTTCCAGGGCAGTTGGGAAAGGCCGTGTTACATAAACCCGGGGTGAGCAAAGATCTACCAAGGCGCCCTCCCCAGGTCACCGAGGTCACCAAGGGCTGGGGGATCCCTTGGTTTGCAGCCTGCCACAGAGTTCAGGGACCTCGTGCATACACAGGCGTAGGAAACCATGTCTCCCTCGTGCCCAGTGGTTCCTCCAAATTGGGAAACTGACCCCCTTCTAGGGGCCCGAACGCCTATTCAGGGAAGTACAACCAAGGGGGGGGGCTCCCTTCTGTTCGGTGGTCTCGAACCATCTGCCTGGCACCAGCCACTTCCTCAGGTCCTCAGACCAGGCCCTGCCTCGGGGAGCCCCAGCCCGAGGGAAGGCAGACGGCACGCCCATGACCCGGCAGACTGGGGTGCTGGCGTGCCGCCCTGCCGTCCACTCTCTGGCTGGCCTGGACCACCCCCCGCTGCCCTCTCTGTACCCCGGGTCCTGTCTGTGACATGAGGGGACAGGCAAGATGACCACAGAGAGCTCAGACCTTACACACAGACAGAGGCCCCTAGCAGATCTGCACACTGAAGTGTCACTCTAAATAAAAAAACTCTAACGTTAAACAAGGGTAAGGTAGTCTGAGTCCTGACTTTGCTCAGGATGATAGGGTGCAATGCCTATTTTGTTTTTTTGTTTTCTTTCTTCCTTCCTTCCTTCCTTTCTTCCTTCCTTCCTTCCTTCCTTTCTTTCTTTCTTTCTTTCTTTCTTTCTTTCTTTCTTTCTTTCTTTCTTTCTTTCTTTCTTTCTTTCTTTCTTTCTTTCTTTCTTTCTTTCTTTCTTTCTTTCTTTCTTTCTTTCTTTCTTTCTTTCTTTCTTTCTTTCTTTCAGAAAGGGTCTTGCTATGTTGCCCAAGTTTGTCTCCAACTCCTGGGCTCAAGCGATCCTTCTCCTTCAGCGTTTCAAGTAGCTGGGGCTACAGGCATGCACCACCATGCCCAGTGTACAATGCCTATTTTGAAACATCAGATTCTGGCTAAGAATGTTTGAGTGCCCGGGGCGGTATAGTAACAACCAGGCACATTTCTGGAGCCTAGTTCCAGGCACTTCACTTGGGCCACTTTGTAGAATCCTTGCAACCACCTTAGGAGGCAGGTATCATTGTTTTTGCCCTGTGGATGGGGAAACTGAGGCCTGAGAGGCGGAGTCCTTGGAGGGAGCAAAGACAGGTCTGAGCTCAGGCAGCCCTCCTAGAGCCGTGGGGTCGCCCAGCGCGCCTGGTGGGTCATCCAGTACTGAGGTTGCCAAGTGGCGGAAAATCAAAAGCCACGGTTTTCATGGGGGGAAAGGGGAGATCCCCTCCCCCCACCCCCCACCTGGACAGAAAGCAGGACAGCGCAGGACCAGTTTGGAGAACAGCAGGTGTGGCCCGAAGTCTGACTGGAAGGGAAGAAAACAAGGAAGGAGGGGTCCTTACATCCCGCCGGGCTTTGCTGCCATTATGGCCCCTGGGAAGGGGCCGATGCTACGCAGCCTGGTCACACGTCCTTGCTTAAAACACTTCCCTGGCTTCCCATTGCTACTCCCAAAAGGCCAAAGTCATT